CTCCGCCTCCGCCTCCTGCTCCCGCCGCTTCCCCTCTGCCCGAGCTGATCAGGGAGTCTACCAAAAAAGAGTTTGCAGCCGGGCTCTCGGAGCATGACATTGTTGTGGAATAATTTGGCGAAGGGAGCAGATAGCCCTTTCTGGCTGACATTTCTTGTGCAAAACATGCTGAATATGATGAGAGATACCCCCGCACCACGGCAGGCGAGCCAATGGAAGCCCGGGCCTCCCCAGCAACCCCTCCCCGTCTGGTTTCGTATGCACAGAGCTGCTCTCAGGTCGACCTCTGAATTTGGAAGATAGATGTATATTAATGTGTAATATGGATTTCCATACACACAGGCGCGCGCGCTTCGACCACATGGGCGAGCGCCTGCACCCAGGAGGGAGCCGCACTCCCGGGAAGGGGAAGGAGCGGGCTGCGCTGGTACTGGCTTCAAGTTTTGCTCCCTTCTTATCGCACACACCACTATAAAATAGCCCGACGGTCCTGATGTTTATTATACCTAGGCTGAAGCGGTGTCCAGATGAAGCTTTTACTGTCGCTCCTCTCCCTCCGCGGTTGGGCTTTCCGGCAGCAATGCCTGCTCACCTCCCTGCACAGCCTGTGTGTCTCACGAAATTAATAAAGCCACGGCTCGCCCGGTGTTTTATGCTCAGGCTGTGCTCATTTTATTTGATTGTCTCGTTTTTTTAAGAAATAAAAGACATGTTATTGTTTATCACGGATCATTTGAAACCGTAAAGGAGCCTGGTGCCTCCCGCTTTAAACTACCAAGGAAGAGGGCTGCTTCCAGCCTAACATCACCACCACGACGCCAGACTGGGCTTAATTTTCCTGGAGATAAAATGCTCGCTGCTGCGCTGAGGAATCTCTTAGGGAGCAGTGCCACTCTGGGAGGATTGATTGTGCGGTTGCAGTTCCTAATGCTTTAGTTAACGCTGGATTCTTCCCGAGGTCTGATTACCATTTAAAATATAAAGCCAGACATATGTCACAGAAAGAATCCAGACGCGAGCAGTTCAAATGGATCCTCGCAGGATGCTGCGCACTGTGTTTATTGATGTGTTTATATTTGAGCGATCATTTTTATATCTCCCCTCTCTCCCCCTCCATTTGGATCTTTTCACTTTTCGCCTCTTCAAAAGCACCGTCTCCTTTAAGCAATGCACTAAATAATAGAAATAAGAGTAACTAGATAAATACCGAGATACTAGGCAGCCCTGTCCAGTCAATATGTAATTGTGGCGGAGGTAGCAGACAGATAGCAGACAGGCAGGGACGCAGACAGAGAGACAGATAGATTTCTTAATGAAATGCTTAATGCTGGCTTGCTTTCACTTCCATCAGCTCTTGCTTATGCCATTTTGAAGTCGCCTCACTGCCTGGCCTGCGGATCTAAGGGCACTTTAGTTCAAGGGGAGCCTGAGGCTGCCCAGTTCTCGCTGCCCATTCCCGAGGAGCATAGCTCGCTCCTCTTCCCGCACGCTGTCCGGAGAAGCAGCGGTCGGCTGGTTTCCGCTTCCAGCAGGGCGGGCGGGTGAGAGTGGCTGCCGGCCGGGCGTCACCGCTGGCCGGGCATCATCACCGCCCGGGACAAGAGCCGTCGTCTGGCACCCGACTGCTGTGCCCGGGAGGGGGCTGGCGCTGGCAGTGG